GGACTAATAATTATTTCTCTGAATAACATTTATTTTGACCTTATAAGTTTTCTTTTATACCTTACTTTTGCTAGCTCTTTAATTGCACCATCTGGATAGGACAGTACCTAGATACCTAATACCTATAGTATTAGGTATATAATTACCTAATTATCTATAGTAATTAGGTATATAATAGTACCTCTCTATTGTGTATCTGACAGGCGCTTTTTTAGAAATGTACTTGCACACAGAGAATATTGTTAATTTCTGGCATCCTTCTAATTGCTATCGTGATTATCTGTTTTCCTAAAAAGAAAATCACAGAACAGTAAATATATGTATTTTTTAAGGGAAGTCATAAATACACTTCAATAATTTGGTCATTAGCAAAAAAAAGCTGGTTTTAGGGGTTTCTGTACAGTTACATTGTCAAAAGTTTGTTCTAGTTGATGAAATAGATGTATTTAATGTTTTTTTTCCCCCATTCATTTTATGAACTTTGTTTCTTTGTCACTGGAGGCATAGTAAAGCTGCATGAGTGTTGCAGCAGCGTATTTGGGAGCACCAGCCCCTGTGATGTGTCCTTACTCCTGGGGAGCCGTAGGCCCATGTTTACTGGCCAGTGTATTAAGTTTTAGCAGATGCCAAGTTGTACTCTTGTGCAAACACTTTTTTTTATCACAGTAACTGTCTCTGGTCTGGCCCCTGGACTGAAAGTGCCCAGGGAAAGAGAAGTCTTTCCCCTGCATGTGTATGAGCAGGATGTGTACTGGGGTTCTGCTCAGAACTGGTAGCATTTAGGTACTGTGTAATACCAATAAATAATGATGATGATGATTGAGGACCAAGTTGTTCCACCTGTAAATTTTACCCATGTGCAGCTTGGCCTCCCTAACTGAGCTATGGTGGTGAAATGTCGCTTTTCTTAGGTGGTGAAGAGCCTGTTTATGATTAATGCATTCCCATGCTTTCCTCCACCAGCAATTGTCACTGCAAGACAGATGCCCAAGGGGATGGAGCTGAAGAGTGAGAGGAGTATGTTGGAATCACTCTTTGAGCTTTCAGCACTGTTTCACAGTGGTAAATGTGACTGATTCTGAAGAAATAGTTGTTTCTTCATTGAAAACACAGTTACATCTGGGGTAGTAGGTTGCCATAAAATTCTCAAGGGATACAATAAGATATTTTTCCTGTGTTTGCTAGCAGAAAGATACCTTGTAACTTGGTCTTTTCAGAGGATTGGAACTGTTTGTGAAGTCTAACACATCTAAATCTGCAGCAGCACTCGTTAAATCTTGCCATTTATGGAGAGCAGAATACTCTTCTCTCAGCTCTTGTTTTATGCTCCCAGCAATTGTTTTGGGTGTTCAGCCTAAGGAGGCACCAGTGTTAACATAGGTAGAGATAAGAGTATAACCCCTAGGGAACTTGTGAGCCCCTTCAGTATGGGCAGCTCTGTTTTATGCATGGATTTTGAAGGACTCCATGGATGAGATAAAAAACCAGAAATAAACCAAACAAAAGCATTATGTGCCAGGAACAAGTGGATTAGTGAATTACTTTCTCGGTGCAAAGATCTTTACTTCAATTACCACCACCAGTCAGTGGGGATCCAAATAGATGTCTTGTAGTGCTCCAACAATCAGCTAGGTGCAGAACTCATGAGGTGAATTCTGGGGAGGTTTGTGGCATCAAATGCCTGGAGATTCCCACAGGCCTGGCTGGTGATGCTGGAGCACATTGGACTGCTGGAGTAGTTGGATGTTATAGAAAGACTAATGCTCTTGTGCCCATATCACCTCAACCTGCAGCGATTTTCCCAGTGGAAAAGGAAGCCAAAATCAGATTATTAGGATCTGCTATACATTTGTGTTCTTGTACTTGCAGTCTCTAATCTTGATGATTCTTAACTAAAGAAATCCCAATATCCTACTCCATGGGAGGTTGGTAGCAGTAAACTTCTGTCTCTAAGTTCCCAGCTGATTTTAGGAGGAATCCCTCAGTGCTCTTTCTGAGCACTTTGTGGGGCCCTGTTAAGAGTAGTAAGGGTTCACATCAGATGTGGCTGCCATACACTGCTCTGCACACATGCTAAGTGAACTTTATTCCTTCTGGCCTCTCTCATTTTAGTCTTGTATCCTGCACTAATTTAATTGCTGTGTATAGGGCTTTGGAATCTTCAGTACTCTATTATTTAATGAGGTTAGAGCATAGAAAAAGCTTTCTTTTCCCAAGCAGAGATGCCTCATCATAGGCAGTAGGACTTCATCAAAGTTGCAGCTTTTGATGTAAAAGGCCATTTCTTATTTTGCTAATTTGTTTGGCTTTTAATCAGTGGTTTCCTGTGTTTCCCAGCCTGTTACCCAACCACAAAATGTCAAATATGTGGAAAGGTCTCAGCTGCCTTGAGAGCCATCTTGAAACATGTTCTTTGCCCTGGGTGAGAAGTACAAGCTGAACTGAAACTATGCAAAACATTTATGCTGGGAGTAGGGTGGCTTCAGAGTGAGAGCTGTGTCCTGAACACCAGTGACAGATTACAGAGGACTGACAGTGAACACTCTGGTTGGCCTTGACTGTACTGGTGCTTGGGGTAGAAAATTGGGAAGTTGTTACTATTAGTGGTTCTGAGCTTTTCTTTCTCCCTGGATGCCAATACTGGCAGAGTCAGCTGAGATCTGATCCTCTTCTTTTTGTGGTTTACCAGCCTGATAGGAAAAACAAACCTGAAAGAATCCAGAGTTTCTTCTTTCCTCTCTTGTATGTGACATCCACCAAGGCGCTGCTGAGCACATGCAGGAGGGAAGAGGATGTGTGGATAGAGAAACAGTGTCCATATTTTTGGAGCAAGCAGCCCACTACCAATGTACTAAATTTCTCTGGGGTCACAGATACTATTATTTAACACTATCTAAAACCACTGTAAAGAAGAGAAGCAAAAAAATGTGTTGCACGTCAGCTGAAAAGCATTTTTTGTAGCTCTGTGAACCCTGCCTTCTGATTCACTGATTAAGTTGTTGGTTCCTGTTAGCATCTGTGAAGTAAGATGCAGAAGGAACACACTCCCTGCACAGAGGCTGAATCAGGCACCTTTGCTTAAAATATGGTAGGATATAGCTTCAGTGAACATACTTTTCATTCAAAATGAAATACATATGTTCATCTTCCTGCAGCATCTCTCAAGGGCTACTGGGTAGAGCACTGGGGGCTACTAATAAGATCTTTTCCTTCCTTCCTTTCTTCCTCCTCTTCCAACTGCTTTAAACTAGATGTTTTTTTATAAAGTGGGCTTCATTTAGAAGGCTTTGAACCTTTTAATAATCTCATTGCCCCTGGAAAACCCTAAGAGAGAATTTTTAAAGTTTATTATATAAGCACCTTGTGCCCTGTGTTCCATTTCTTGATTTAAAAACCCTTGGGAGGGAGATGACTAATATCAGACCACCACGTATAATCCATGTGAGAACTGGGTTGTTAGCTGGTAAATTATCAATATAAAATATTTTTTTTGTGGTTTCATTAACTGCAGAGAGGCACTTCTTAAACTGACATGAACTGCTACAACATAGGAATTGATTGAAAGACGAGTTTCTTCATCAGTGGGTGTAACTGGTTTAGTTTGATCAGTCTGCAGGCACACAGGAATGTTCATGATGTTTTTGTGTGTTTCTGAGGCAAGAGATGCTGTATGAACTCTGGAGATGCATGAAAAGGAGTGCCTCCACTTCCTGTTTGAATCAATGTCCATCTATTGTGAGGAATTATATCTTGGCTCTAATTTTCAGGACTGTGAAGAGACTGTTCCTTAAGATGGGAATGTAAAGCTACAGAAGGATGTAATTTTTATCTTGTTTGCAGAAACTGCCAGCAAGTCTGGTTATTGCATTGCTGTACTTTGTGGAGTACATCAAGGCTTCCCTGAGGGAACAGAACTCATCCCAGTGTGATGTTTCACAGGGGTTGGTACCTCAGAAGTTGAGCCCATTGAGATGAGAGCATTGAAATTCATATTTAGGTGTAGACTCCGTGCTAGGGAAGATTACAAAGAGTTCATAGTCTTTGATCCACTATCTGTTGTATGTGGATGGTTTGCACAAAATAGGCAAGCTTTTTATTTTCTGTAGCCACTAAATAGGCTTGTATTTATTAAATGAACCTGGTTGTGACAGTCACTAACTGAAGTCAGTCAGAAACTTTGCTCCCCTTTAGGCAAGATCTGCAGCTGTCCTTTGTTTCTGTTACTCGCCTGTCTGCTTTTCTTGGTATGTCTCATTCCTCCTTCCTTTGTCTCAGTGTGTCTCCTTTGTTATTCTCCCTTCATTTCCTTCTCAGTATTAAATCACCTTTCTCACCCCTGAGGGCTTGAATAGCATCACCTTCCCCATTCCATCTGAAAAAGAAGATCTTGAAAGACATGGTTAGTTATGACACTGACAAGTCATCAGTTTGGGAGTTGCCAGTTTCCAAAACAAGTGTCCCCAAAATACATCATCATAGTTGAAACTGGCCCAGGAGCAGTATTCATCTAATGCCTCAAAACAAAAGCTGTGAAGAGATCCCTTAAACTTACCCAGGGTTTGGACTGGGGACATACTATGAAATACACTGCTTCTGTGTTAAGCTTCCAGGTGAGTTTAAATAATCATAAATAGAAATGAAATACTCAAAATTCCATTTCCAGTTCTGAGACATGCACATGCCATCTAATAAGAATTTGAAATTACTTGGTTGCTCATGCGGGTGTAATTGAAAAATAAGCATAATCTATTCAGTTTTAGATTTAATATATAAAAGAGGTACTGTGAACAAAACACAGCTTCTGAAATGTCTATTTCCCTGGATTTTATTGTCTGGATTAAGTTCAGATATTAGTGCATGTCATTCTCATACTTGGGTGATGTCATTCTGAGGTGGGACTTTGCCAAGTATGCCTCATTATTACTTTTTGCAGTTGATAAGCAATGTATTCTTTTTCCTTTAAATGAAATTAAATATTTACAAGCTGTTACTTATTGCAGGAATTGAAATGAATGAAGCTTCTCTTGAAAACAAACACAACCTGAGGAAAGCAGAGACAGCAAATGAGTTTGAAGCTGTCACAGGAGGCAACTTTGAATCTCTTATATCCAAGCTGTCGCTTTATCAGAGCCCTGAAAATATGGGAGTCAAAAGCAGAAACATGTAAAGTCGTGGTTTCTGGCATAGTTTATTTCTCTGATGCAAGTGCGCTTGCTGTGTAGTCACTGAGGTTCATGGACTGAAAGAAGATGAACAGATTTAGAGTGCTTTTATCTAACATGAAATTGATACTGTCTTATGGGAATGACTTCTAAGAAGAACATGAGAATGTCTGTACTAGGCTAGACCTGTGGATGTTTGGGGAAGAGCATCAGACTCAGATGAAAATTTGTGATCCTTAACCACAGCTTTTCTGGCCAACAGCAATTTGTGGCTCAGGGGTAACTGTAAAAGCTTCTCAGGTGCAAGAAGCAACTTATTTGTAAACATGAAATGAGAGGGAAGGTGAGCTTATGTACTCACTAGTACTGGATTTCTATTATCCTTTCCATAAATGGATAAATAAATGAGTTCAAATTTTGGGGTATGTTCTCTAAGTGATTGTAGATTTGTCTCTACATTTCAGAATTTTAAACCCATTTATTAATTCTATATGGATTTAAATAGTATTTAAATTCAGAAAAATTATATGAAGTAACAAGTAGATCTGTCAACACAATTTACAAATTATGGGTTTTTTTTCTCTTGTAAGTTTCTCAGCAATTTGGGTACTTTAAAGAGTGTTATTTCTCTTGAGTGAATGTTGTTTCTGGAAAGAAAGATGCATGGCAAAAGCAGTTTTAGATGTCTTTTTGTTTCTATAGAATTTATTAAAGGATCCTTTTAGATGTGTGGAGGATTGTGCTGTCATATGCAGAAAAGTACAAAGTATCCCAAATGTTTTCCTTGGTTATCTGAAGTTGAATTAATGTTCATTAAATGGGCATCCTCATCTAAGTCAGGATTAATTTTAAATTCAAGCCATTATTCTTTTGGTATGTAATTAATACTGTGTATGTTCTTATCAATAAGTGAGTCTCATTTTCAGTTTGTTGAAGTTTACCTGAGAGTATTCAAGTGTCTCACCCTTTCCATGTATGAAAATATGCCTTTGATGTCTCAGCATTTGACTTTAAAACAGCTGATCTTCTGGCGTGCTGTATAATAAAGTTGTTTTGATACATACAAGAAATTCTGCTTGTTTGTTCCAAGTTTGCATGGCATAGTTAAGCTAGGTTTTTGTTCAGTAAAAATTTGTGATTCTTTTGAAATGGAAATCAATCCTTTTCTCTTAAGTTGCTTAAAATGTTTATTAAGCAGGCATGATCAAGTTTCTTAGATTTTAAGAAGTGCTGAAGGTGAATTTTGAAAATCTTGCTCGTTTTTATTTACAAATAGTTCATGATTTTAAAATAGAGGTTTCTAGTGCTCTTTTTCCATTTTAAATATTGTTTTGAAGGGCATCAGTAAAAACATTCAATTATAGTGTTCTATCTATAGACTCCCTGGGAACCCAGGCTGTGATTGTATTTCTCAGCTAGAATGAAGCAGCACCATTTCATTGACTTAAATTTCTTCCATTATGGAAGGATCCTTGGCTTTAATTTGTCTCACAGGTAATGAATGGAATGTTAACAGTAATGGAAAGAAAGAGGTGCAAGAGCCTACAAAATGGAGAAAAGTGAACAGAAACAAGTAATAACCCAAGTATTATATTTTATTATTGAATACCACACTGTTCTTTCTAACTGTTCTTCCTCTTCATTTTATTTTCCCTAAAATTCTATCTTATTTCATTTATCTAGAAGAAACACGCCTCTTAGCATGAGCTGAGGGCTGTTGGTTTTTTGCCTTTCTTTGTCTTCTTACTGTCTCTTAGTCCTCTACCTTCCTTTCTGTGGATTGGTTAATTTAATCTTTCTAGCTGCTGCGTGTTCAGCATCACTAGGGTCAGCATGTTACATATGGAAGACACATCAGCTGAAGGAAACTAATATCCCAATCAACTTACTAGCCGTGCAGTTAGAGGGAAACCAGCTGGCATGAGTGAATTGATTTCTGCATCAATCTCCTTGCACAGGCAATCAATTCAGCAGAGAGAAACGAGACCTGAGTCCTCATCACTTCCCTGAAGCAGAAGGCTCCCTACAGTGTAGTTTCATCGTCCTGAGCTCTCTGCTGCACTCACAGAGCTGTGAGAGCAGGGGTTCTCCATATGGTGTCACTGAGCCCAAAGCCTGTGAAAAGCCACAGCAGCTTCAGTATGTTTTGAGTCAGATCCTTGGGCTGATGCTGCAGCCATACTATCACAGTGTTAGTTAAGAGGTATTTAAGCCCCCAAAGCATTAGGTGGCTCTCATCTCTCTTTGCCAACAGCATGAGGCTCATCCTGACAACAAATGCATAACCAATTCTATTTGTAATTTTTTGTAGTTTTTGAATCACATGCTAATAATTCAGAGGAATGATACTCAAGTAGGCATCATTATTATATCTACATGGTTTTCTTCCTTCACTTATTTTTGGTGAAGGAACAATGGTGCAGCAAACCAAGTCTGTTCAGTACTAAAAATTTTCAGGGCTTTATACTGTGTAACTTAGGTAATTGCTTAAGTAGTCGAGTTAAAGAGAAAATAATTAGAAGGCTAATTTGGATTTATCCTTCCCTATTACCACTTAAAGATGTTGACTGTAGGGTTCTGTTACTGCTTCATTTAGCTTGACCATTGCAATGAACATCCTTGCATGTCAGACTGAGGTGAGGTAGAGGGTTTGTGTTGCAGGATCAGAGCATGTGGTACCATAGAATTAGGAGCAGATAGGCTGACATTGGCTTTCAGAGGGGAACACACTTGCTCTGCTTTGGTCCCAAAGGTGTCATTGATTCTATTTGCAGTACATGGTCAAATATCTATCCATGGTATTAGAGAGGTTAACAAAAGGTTGTCATAGGGCCATGTTTGTCACAAATAGTGACAGTAGGATAGTATAATGTCATCATGTTGTGGTGCAAATGTCATCATTTTGTGATGTGACAAATTGTCCCCAAGGACAGACTTTTAAGAGATCCTAACAGATGTTGGAAAAATGAGTGAGTTTAGATTGATTTTATTTGTGTCATATTCAGGAACAATCAGGAATTTAGAAAGCAAAGCTTGCAGCAATTTGTATCACTTTTCATTCTTGAAGGGTCTTTGCTAATGTCACAAACTTTAGTCATTATATATGTGATTCTTCCTTAGCAGGCAAATTGGTTGATGTGTCATGTTTCAAGGCAGCTCCAGAGATGACAATTTTTCAGTAATAAATGTGTTTAATTGGACTGTTCCCCATTTGTAGCAGACTGGATTTTCCTATTTTAACCACAAAATAGTAGGGGAATTTGGGCAGTTTCCAGTGTGTCAAAACTTAAGTGCAATAGGAAGTAAGATAATTTTGTTTGTATTTGTTCTGTCCTTCATTCAAACCCTGTTAGATGCAACTGTGAAGCATACTAAGCAGTGCTGCTTATACTTTATCTACAAAGCAAATTCAGCTGGGATGGCTGTGCTGTGTTAACACAACTAAACTCAACCACACTTATATTTGATATTGCAATGTATTCCTGGGCCATTCCTGTGTATGCTTGACACATACTGTGAGAAACTGCAGGAGATGATATTCAGTAGCTTCCAGAAGACATTTTAAATAAAATTAAGACATTCAACTTGCACTGAAATCAGGGCCTTTGAGAATGCTGATTTGGTTTCTTAATTGTGAAGGAGATATTCTGGTGAGAATGGTAAGCTGGTTTTTCTGTGGAAATAGTAGATTTCTTGTTCTGTAAAAATAGTCTAGGTGGAAAATTTGTTTGTCCAACCACGAAATAATTGAATCATACATTTGCTCTTTAGGTGAGGTGTTTTTGGATTTAGTTATGAAATCTTAGACAGGTCTAGTCATTCTTCAGGATGGTGGCAGCATGCAAGGCTGATTCTGTCAAACGTGGGTTGGAAAAGCAGCATTTAACAGCACCAGCAGGCTGTATCCTGGCCCCTCTTCCTGAAGAGCGTGCACATTGTGAACTGGACTTCAGATGAGTGATCTTGTATGAAACTACCTTCCTGTCTGTCCTGGTTCCAGCCAGGACAGAGTTAGTTTTTTTCCAGCATCCAGGAGGGAGGCATGGCTAGGACACAGAGGTTACTCTATACCACCTCTTGTCATTGCTGGGGTGGGGGGAAAGGGAATCCCTTCTCTGGAGGAGGGATCCATCTGATATTGTCTATTATTGAGAGTTTTTCTATGTGAATAATATCTTTTCTTATACCTTTTGTTATTAATATTGTTGCCGTTATTGTTCATTTTCTATTTTTTTTTCTTATTGCTGTTTCCAGCAAATTGTTCTTACCTTAATGCATGCCTCCAATTGGAGGGGGTAGGGGAACCGCATGTGGTTTTAGAGGGAGTACGAAATTGGAGAATACATTCCTAAATCACAGCCTAATTTGGCAACAAAAAGGACTGCCATGGTTTCACCCCAGCTGGTGTGGGACTGAGGAGAGAATTGCAAGGGTAAAAGCTAGAAAACTTGTGGGTTGAGATAAAGACAGTTTGATAAGGAAAGAAAAACACACAAAGAAAAACAAAAAATTAATACCCTGCTTCCCATGTGCAGGCAAGTGTTCAGCCACCTCCAGGACAGCAGGACCTATTATGGTAACAGTGACTTGTGAAGACAAATGCTACTACTACAAATATCCTGCCCCTTCCTCCTTCACCTCACTTTATATACTGATCATGATGTCACATGGTTTGGAATATCCCTTTGGTCAGTTTGGGTCACCTGTCCTGGCTGTGTCTCCTCCCAGTCTCCCATTCACCTCCAACTTCTCTGCCAGACTGGAGTGTGGAAAAGCAGAAACGGCCTTGGCTCTGTGTAAGCTCTGCTCAGCAATAACAAAATCATATCTATGTTATCAACCCTGTGTTCAGTGCAAGTCCAAAACACAGCCCCACACATGCCAATGGTGAAGAAAGTTAACTCTACCCCAGCCAAAACCAGTACAAACTAGATAAGAAAGATCTGTTGAAATTTGTGCTTTCCAAGTCTTTATGTTCTCAACTTTCTTTTCACACAGAAACACGTTTTGTGTTAAACACTTACCCTGCCTATGTAGATTGTAGATTTGAAGTTTGAGCTGCTGTTGTTTTAAAACACAGACTGATAGGTAAAACACAGTGTATTCTCTAAGTGAGGCTAGTATGGGCAGTTCTTGGATAGCTCCTCCCCAGGAGCTGAGGAAGCCTGTCCACTCATGTTGACTTTAACTGTGATGCTACTGTCAAGAGAACTGTGAACCTATGTGAGTCCTATGAACTTTCCTTGCTATACTTGGCCAATACTGAGCTAATTCTCTGTGATTACACCCTTCCTGTTGAGGAAGAGAAATTGAATAAAGAAAAAACATAGTGTTTGATAGATAGAACAGGATTGAACAAACTTTAAACACCTTTCTAATTACTTGGACATTGGCCTCTTTTTTCAAACTACTTGGTCCAGAGCTGATGCACAACCAATCTTTCTCCTCTGTAAGTTCCTAAAGCAGGAAATTTTTGCTCAGATTGCCAACAGAGTAAGCCTCTGTTTCCATAGTTTCTGTCACAAAAACAGACTTGAGGTGAGTTGTGATTTGTGTACAGACAGCTGCCTGGTTGCACCTTGATGTGTTACTGCAGAAACGGCAAACAAGGTGGGTCCAATTGTTTTTGAAATCTCTTGGCCTTCAAAAACACTTTTGGTTTGTGGGGCTGCCAGAGGCTTTCTGTTCAACCTTGAGCAGGTAACTTGATTCTTTCTGTATCTAAATATCAAATATGGTCGTCTTGTTCCACCTCTTTGGTTATAAGGGCAACATCAAAGATCATTAAGTTGTTGGAGACTTTTGAAATTTATGCTATCATGTTACCATAGGTAAACAGAAGGGAAAGAGCGGCAATCTAAGGGAAGTTGTTTTTCTGATGTTAATCTGATATAAGGGAATGTCATTTTACAGTCCCTTATCTAGAGCTTTTATGTGGCTTTACATCCTCCATGGTATTGCTTTTTAAATGCTGTACTGTACAAACAGTAGAGCATTGTGAATGGTTTTTCATTTTTATATATTTTTAATGTCTTATATTTCCATTAGTGGA